TTGCTGGGTGCGAGTGCGGGTGATGGGCCAAGACGCCAGCTACTGTCCCTCCCAGCACAAGGGACACATCTACTTGAAAACTCAGGTCCTGGATTCGGGCTCGGCAAGGGCCGTGCACAGGGCGGCAGGGCCCCCAACCCCACAGGAGCCTTCCAAGCCCACCCCTGATCATTTCAGCAATCATTCCAGAACCTCAGGAATATGGTGAAACCAACATGAGGACAAAGCCACCTCACGTTGCTACCTACCAGTGCCACGTGGGAAAGGCAAGGTGCAGCACAGCTCAGTGCATGCAGAGCAGTGGAGGGAGCAGAGCTGCTTGTGCCACGCACACCTGCCTGTGTCTGTGGCAGGTCCCAGGGCTATGGTGGTCAGAGGTCAGGATAGGGAGTTTCCTCCACTGCTGTTACCTGGCCAAAGCTAAGACCCCTGGAGGTCACTGTGTACAGACCATAGGGCAGGGCAGGGCAGCTGTGGCTGAGACCAGGGGTGGGGCGGCGCTCTGCAAAAGATAGGAAGAGGCTGAGTCAGGTGGTGCCAAGCCGAGAGGAGCACAGGACAGGGCTCAGGTGGGACTATCCCACAACAGGAAGCAGAAGGCAGGCTGGGTGCTCCCCCAGGAGACAGACATGGCACCACGACCAGGAAGCAGTCCTGGCTGCCATGGGGGGCGAGGGTACGAAAGCAGAGTTGGTTGCAGTCTCAGCCAAGGAGGCAGGGGGTAAAGGGTTCTAAGGGGAGAGGGGCTGGACTGTTGCCCACAAGTGGGTGGCGCAGAGCTCAAGTCAAACCAGGCAGGGTGTGGAGGGTGGTCTTCCTCTCATCTGAGTCATTCTGCAGGGCCAGGAGTGAGGGTCCCACTGTAGCCGAGAGCCAGAGAATAGACGCTAGCTCCAGGTAACAGCTGCGCCCTGGGTGTCACTAACTTCTGGCAGGTGTTGAGAGGCCCACAGCGGGAGTGGGGAGGCGGCAGCTATCCCGTCCTGGGACCATACGCACCACTCACGGCCAGCCCTCCCCGGACCAAGGAGTCAGGTGCCCAGCGGCATCAACCCAAGGGGAGCCAAGCTCAGGGCAGCAGCAGGGCTGGAATCTGCCGAGATGAGGGCACGTGCGCTCTTGCCCTCCATGTCACCACTGGACCACGGGGGGCACCAGGATCACCCCACATGCAGCACTATGTCACAGCAGGAGTAGGCAGGACAGCAGGAACTGCCTTTCCTGGGACACAGTGAGCTCAAATCGCTCCATTCCTTCCCTTTGCGCCAGACCAACTCAGAGGAAGAGAAACACACCCGAGGCCCTGACAGAGCCTGGGCCAGTGCAGTGGGCACCCAGTTCCTTTGGGAAGTGGCCCCTAAAATCAGAAGTGGGGGCTAGGGAGAGTGAAGCTGGGAAGAACATCTGACACGGGGCCACTGTGTGCTGGTCACTACCTGAGGCCCCTGGGCTGGCTCCTGGGTGGCACGGCCAGGCCCTTGAGAGGTGGGCAAAGGGACTCTGTAGAGGCAGGCAGCGCTTCTGAACAGGAAGGGGCTGGGGCTGGACTTATCTGCACCCCTCCGACACAAGCCCACACGCGTGCTCAGCAATGCCAGCGTCTAAGGCCTTACCCTCTGCACTAGAGCGGCTGCCCCAGGGTTCTCCCAAGGCCTGAAGACCCAAGGCCCACAGGCCCACCAGTGGCCTCCCCTAGCCGCCTCTGCTTCCCTGCACCCTGCCCCGTGTCCTTCCTCCACCTCCTGGCACAAGCCTGGGAAAGCCTCCTGAGGCCAGGCCTGCCTGCCTGCCTCCTCCCACTTCTCCAGGACACAGCTTACACATGGCTGGACTGTGCCCACTGCTGCAGATGCGGTGGGCGCCAGGAAGGCCTTCGGGCTGCAGGGCATGCGCCTGAAGGGGCTGTGGGGCTTCCCAGCTGTCACCCGCACCAAGCCAAGGCTCTGCTCAGCCTGCGGCCCACGCCCTGCGCACAGGGAGCCCAACACCCCAGCTCTGCCCTGGCCCCGTCCACGACCTACCTGATTGCAGCCCTTTCGCAGCCAAGAAGGAAGGGCACAGAGCTGAAGGGCCCAGCAGGCACAGGCCACTGTCAGCTGTCAGAGCGACCGAGGTGGTGTCGGCCATGTCTTAGCCGCAGGCCAGAGCTCTGTGGAGGTGGGCCTCTGGGCAGGGGAAGCCAGGTCTAGGCGAGGAGGAGAAACTCGCACACCCAACCCTCACACCGAAGCTGTCAATCAGAGACCTGACGAACGCACACGCATGACGCCTCCTGGAGGATTCTCCTACAGGTCGGGCTGCCCTGGCCACGCACCTGCAGGTCTCACCGAGGAGACCACACCCAGAAGCCCACGGCCTGCTTGAAAGGGAAGAGCACCTCACTCTACAGATGCACGTGGGGTTGCAGAAAGCTGTTTCACGTTTTATTACATCAATGGCTTGAAAATTTTTATTTAATCTCAGCAAATACTGGAAATAGAAAAATGAATTCTGCAGAATTTCACAAATAAAGTCTTCCAATTTCCACTAACAAATGTTATCATTCAATGGCTAAGCAATTATAATGCTATGAACATTCACGACAATGAATGTGTTGAAATAGAAAACAGGCAAAGAGACATGAAAATATTACTTACAACAGCATTATTACAACATATTCTCTTTAAAATTTCAACGTGGATTTTATCACTTCAAAAGATATACAGCATTTCCATTATATTTGCAAACTTAACCTTATACATCTTTTAAAATCTTGAAAAAATTTTAAGCAATCTAAAAAGCACTTAGCAAAGTTTTAAGTCTACATATGGAATACTATCCATTCCGGTATAAATTTTCATTTAGGAGAAGGTGACTGTAAACACTCAGTATTTTACAACATGCATAGACTATCCTGACCTTCTTTCTTCTGAACTGTAACGTTACTGCAATTGTGCTTTACTACAGGAGGAGAGGCTGCCGAGCCCGGTGCGGCAGGCAGGAAGCAGTGCACGGCGCTGCCCGCTGCCCGTCGGAGGGAGGGCCGCCGACCTCACTGCACCGAGGCCCCTGGGGACGCTGGGGGCTGGGCTCCTGGGCTCACTAGATCAGAACCGGGCGGGGAGGGGCTCTTGCCGGAGGTGGGTCCATCTTTCCTTTGCTCATGTAAAAGCAGGGATCCAGTTAGTGTAATGCACTGTTTGGCTTCTTTTTGGTGTGCGAATATACCAATAGTACATCTGATATTTAGAAAGACAAAAATAGGATAGAGTTGAAATCTAAAGTGACAAGGAGCACACTAGAGTGGTGTGGAGTGCTGAGGAAATTTAACATAACAGAGAAGAGCTGCCTCATTAGTCCACCTCGCTAAGCTTCTCAAACTGCCTTTGCATTTTTGTTTTTCACTAGAGGCTTGTGACTGCCAACAGGTCCTACAGGTCACAACTAGCAGTCACTTGAGGACGCGCAGTCCCACGAGGGTCCGGGATGCACAGAGGGTGGTGAGCCACGCTGACCTCGCGCTCCTGCACGCTAGCACCGCAGTGCCCGGCCGGGCCCGGCAGTGTGAGCAGGGCGCGGGGCCTCCTGGATCAGAGAGCCGTGCGGAGCCGCCCGCCCGCCGCTGCTGAGCAGCCAACACGACATTCAAGTAACGAGGTGTTGAATGGATAAATGAAAACAATTTTTACCTAACACTTTACACATCTACATAAAATTAAATAAAACAAACTTTTAATGCATATCAATACAATTTATATCTTTTAGGATTCTAAACTAAAAGTTAAACTATTATTTGTGTCCATGATACTATATTTTGCACAATAACTTATACTTAGGAGAATTTTTCCACAAAAATATATATAATTATGACATTCACATTGATAATTTTTAAGAACACAAAGCTTAAGTGACATTCCACCTGAAGCAGTTATCACAGCCCAAACCCAGCCCACCAAGCCACCGATTCTCACTGTCAGAGCATCCCATAACCGAGACTGGAGGACTCGCCACCTAGCTTCGGAAGCAAAGTGATTCTTGCATTGTCACAACTGCCGGGTGCGTGTGACGAACCGCACTGGAGCGCAGCGCCGCCGGACGCACAGTCCCCAGCAAGGGCCAAGCAGGCCACCGCTCCCCGCTCCCACGAAGCAGAGTAAGTTTGGCCCAGGCAGCTGCAGCCTTAGTACACTGCATGTGACCACTGGGCCGGAGGACGGTGGCGTCAGGGGCTGGCAGGGCCAGCGCAGAGCACAGACTGGGGTCCAGCAGCACGTGGCCTGCAGGGGAGCTTCATATCTAGGCTTCGTCAGAGGGCTCACACTTAAAAGAAACAGGCATTGGGACTGGGGCCGCAGAGATAGCTCAGCGGCCTAAGTGCCTGCCTAGGCAAGAGCACGGACACTGGTTTGATACGCAGTATCACATGCCTTGCCAGCCACCAAGACCAGGGGTGGTGGCACACGCCTGTAATCCCAGCGCTGGGGAGGCTGAGACAGAAGAATCACTACGAGTCTGAGCTGCATAGTGAGACCCTGCACCAAATACATAAAGAAAACAAAGAGAATCATCGGCAGGCAAGGTACAACGGCCCCCGAGGACACTGTCCACTGCTGCGGCCCCGGTGAGGGCCCAATGTCCTTGTGAGCTAGTGCTGCCCTGCACCCTCCTGCTGACCCTGTCACATGGCAGGCTAACATCCGGCGCTAATGTCACTTTGCTACCTGTCTGATGTGATGGTGGGAACAGCAGGATTTCCTCAGCAGGTAGACATGCTGTTGGGACTAAAGGAGGACGTCCCTGCACACCCCTTTGGAATGACCTTTCCCGAACCTCTAAAACAAAATGTACAAACGCCAAGACCTAGGGTCCTAGCTGAACTACTTTTCTAAAGAGAAAATCAGCTGACATATACAAAAAAAGAAAGGAAAAAAAAAAAAAAAAAAAAGCAAGGTGCTTGGGAGTCAAAACACAAATTTTTAGTTGCATATTTAAAATCTTTAAGAATTCTTTTTATGCCTTAAAGCATCTGCATTCTTTTCTTTTTGGTATTAAAAGCAGAAAAAAAATTCAAATGATGCAAACAAAAAATTCGAATGAAGCTCCTCCCACATCTGCAGTGCAGCCCCCACACCTCAGGCCTCACAGGCCCTTGGTCCAGGAGGAGAAGCAGCGACTTGGGCAGGCTCAGCACACTGATTAGAAAGCCTGTGTGTTCCCAGTTCACCCACAAGGCAGGACAGACCGCTCTACAGACGGTTCCTTTTCGTCCTGGTTAACTAGACCAACACACCGACCACGTCTCTGTCCTGTACTCTGCTATTAAGAGAGGGGATGGTACCTGTGTTTCACATAAGCACTAGAAGGACATAAAAGGACGCGTGGAGTGACACGCAGCGGGCCAGGGATGCCAAGAGGCCAGGACAGTGGTGTGCCGCTCCCAGGAACCCACCAGCAGCTGCACTCACTCCGTTGGGTGCTAAGCTTGCATCTCCAGTCTGTACTGCTAGAGCGGGCAGAAGCGCTCCCTATCTCCATGATGTCATCTTTGGCAAGCAATAAACTTTAAATAAGACACTTGAACAGAAAAGGGATCGGTAACATGGTTGCCAAAAGGAGAAGGCACCAATTCCGAATGGACAAGCACCAGGTACAGTGATAGGACCGGATCTCCCGGAGCTGGGCGGTGCAAGTGGTGCTGGGGATCGGGAGGAGCTGGGGTGCACCCACCCTGGGACTGCAGGCAGAAAGTGTGGAGGTCCAACATTCCCCGTAAGCTACAGTGTCCAAAGACAGTTGCCGTGAATGAGCTTTCAAACACTTGGGAAAGGAGAAAGGGGAGAGATTTAAGCCAAGTAAATTTACGAGTAATTCCACCTTTCACTTGGGAACCGTGAGTTGCATCAGGATGCTTGGCACAACAAGATTACAATGCAGTCTGCCAAAGTGTTGCGACTTCCAAACAAGCAAGGTATTATTAGGGTGGCTGCCCCAGAAAAGAACAAGTCAGTCGCTCTGCAAGTTACACTATGCACAAGTAGAAATCGCAGCCATGCAGGAACAGAGTCGGGCCTTCTGAGACTACCTGCTCTGAAGCTGCTGACGGGAAGAGCTGCCGTGGGTGGGGCACAGGGCTCCAATGGGGGCAGGTCCCAGAGTTGTGGGGGTACAGGCATAGGTTCCCCAGCACTGAGGCAGAGTGAGAGATGCAACAGAGCTCTCTGGGAAGTGGTGCCAACATGGAGGAACGAGCAAAGAATTAAGGCAGATGGAGCACAGGACCGGAAGTGTATGCCTTTTTGGTAATAGCTGCTTGTCCACAGAGATGGGATGCAGATGGCTGGGTGATGTCTCATAATACCTGATATCCTGGATAACACATAGTCCACACCAAGTGTTCAAAGCTACCAGCGTTCTCATGAGGCGGATGCATATCTGACATCGAGGACAGAGGCAGCCTGAGAGGAAGAAAAAGGAGAGATCAGGGTGCAGGCCAACAATACTCCCAGGTTTTTGTAGTGCCCAGAAGCTGGGCAGAAGACACAGGCCTGGCTACGGGCAGGTGAGTGTCAGAAAGACGGCTGCACAGTGGCACGCCTCCTGAGGGTAAGGGAACCCCCCCCCCCCCCCCCCCCGCAGCATCAGCACAGTGGTGGAGATGCGGTGCACCTGCAGCCCCCCCCAAGGCTGCTGCACACAGCCCCGCCCACGAGAGGCCCCGCCCACGAGAGGCCCCGCCCACGAGGCCCCGACCCCTGCGGGCAGGGTGTGCAGGAACGAGGGTCCTCTTTAGAGCCCTGCACGTATTCCTTCACTTCCTGCTCCAAAAGGGGCCAAGGTACCTCACTGCTCCCTGAAGCTCGTATAGGGCCTTCCTGCTGGGGAGCAACCAGGCTAGGAATTCAATCTGAAAGCACTGCTCTATCAGGCAAAAAAAGGAATTTATAGGACTGTTCTAGCTTACCCAGGAGTCCTTCTCCTCACTTTTCCTATGTCTATAATCACTGAGCAATCTTAACCAAGACCCAGCAGCCCTCATGCCCCTGCTTTCTGCGAGGCTGGAGGTAGCAGCACCCCCTCTGCCCCACGCTTGGCACCTCAAAGACCTCTGGGTCAGCCTCCATCTTGGCTGAAAAGAAGAAAAGCCTGAAAGGCACAGGAGACTGCTCATTACTAAGGCTTCCAGGAACTGCGCCTCGTCATTCCGTGTACTCTGCAGGAGATGAGACCCAACCCCAGTACCCTGCTCCACCGGAGACAACAGCAAGGTGCAGTTCCCAGCACTCAACTCACACACGCACCCTGAGGCCCTGGGCAAGCAGGCGCGTCTGTGTTGCAGAATGCCTTCAGCAAACAGAGAATGGGAAGGCGAGGGGGGGCGTGCTGATGGCGTGAGCACCAAGGAATGGGGTTCAAGGAATGTCAGTGTGGGGCCATGGAGACAGCGCAGTGGCATAAGTGCCTGCCTGGCAAGCACAAGGTCCTGAGTTCAATCCCTGGTTCCACAAAACAGTGCGGTGTGCAGCTCAGCGTAAAGGAATGTCAGTGTGGGTGTGGAGGATACAGCTGAAACGACCAAAGGAGAAAGGAGGATTAAAGACATCTTAGATGACAGTAGGCTCCAGCTGTGTCAGGTGTGCCTCTTAGGAGACTGGGTAAACAGACATGGGAGACTGGGCTCCTGTCTAAGCAGCTGCTCAAAGTCTTTTGCAGTTACAGGTAGCTGGATCTAGTGTGTGATGCGGGGATCGGCTCCTGGTGCCATACTAGGCTCAAGGGCACTTGGATTAAGGGTCTGAGCGCTGCCCACCCTAAGCAGCCTGGGTAAGATATAGGGGCAGAGAGAGCTCGGGCTGTCCCTTGTTAATTTGCTGCTTTCTGCCTGCTTTAAACTGTCTCCTTTGCAAAGCTGCCTGATCCACCCTGCCAGATGAAGATGGACTGAAACTTCTTGACAAAATTTGTGCCCCCTTTAACTTTGGGTACTGGGTATTCTGTCTCGGCAACAAGAAGAAATGAAGGGAGACTGGGCGCCACTGAGAACCTAGGAGCTGCTGTCCGCTGGGAGGTCTGGCTGACGGGCAGCAGCTAGCCACATGGAAGGCGCCTGCACTTCTGCAGGCCCTCAGCTGAGCCCCATGCGCACGTCCTGTGGGGGAGAGGAGGCCTGCAGTGGTGGCCAGGCAAGCAAGCACGCACAGGAGGGGGAGGGAGGCATCCACGACAGGACTACAGTGTCAGCCACTGTCCTAGCAGTGTGACAGCCCCAGGACCTAGCACTGTCCCATCGACCCTAAGCCAGTCAGCCCCAAACAGCACCAAAGGCTGGAAGAGGACAGCAGGGACACAACATGCCACACGCTCCACAGACCCAGAAGGACAGCCCCAGCACCTCCCACTGACCACCTTCTGCCAGTCTTCACTCAATTTCAGAGCTACTGGCCACGGGGACTATTTTTTGGCTGAAGGACTCCAGAATGATATGAAGCACTCGCTCTGGAACTGGAGTCTGAACAATAAACAGTGACAAGGACAGGCTGGCGGTAGCACGCATGTGTCACGGCACTACCAGAAGGAAGTTTCTGGTATAGCTGAAGTATAGCAGTGTTTCACCAACGCAGGGCCTGACAGGAAGGAACTGGATCTCAGGAACAGTGGCAGGGAGCACACCGCCCTCTGTCAGACTCACCTCGTCCTCCTCTTCAGGTATCTTGATGGAACTGTCTGGGGACTTGACTGGCTTCGGGGCGCTGGGCCCATTGGTCTCTTCTTTCCCATGTTCTGCCTCCCATTCTTGTAAAACTTCATCTATGTTGAAGCGGCGTCGGTAATTGACAAAAAAGTTCTTGACCTGCACCACTGACTTGTTCCCAATCACATCTGAGATTGCTTGAAAATCTCGGCCATATTTCCTGATGGCTGAGAGAAAAGAGGGTTTTTTAAACAAAATTTAACAGAGAAAAACAATCTTATAAGCCATAACCAAACCCCCACCAGGTAAGAAAGCACACAGGCTTTAATTTTCTGCTTCCCCTCCTCTCGCGCAGGCTTCTTTAACAGCAGGCTCCTCCAGCTCGTCACATCACGGAAGACACAGTCCATGCTCACCTCTGGTGGGGCTGACACAGAAGCTTGCAAGCCCCCATCACCTGCAATCTGCCCTCCCAGTGTGCCACAGCGCGGAGCCTACTCCAGTCCCCAGAGGGCCCGGGGCGCAGATGCCAGGTCTGGAGCATAAGTACCTCGGGACTCTAATGGTGTGGCCGGAGGGGGTGCATTCCTTACCTATTCAGAGCTCTACGAGCGGCTGCTGAAGTGTAATAGTCACATCCTTACTTTTACAACATGTGAGCATCGGAAAGGAAAATGAAGGGCCTGGTGCCAGGGAACATCCCACGTACCTTGCACGGCGAGAAGCTGCTCTTCGGTGGTCCAGCGTGCATTGCACTTCTGAATGACCTAGACGGTTGGACAGCATGTTACACTCAAGAGACGGGCAAGTCACCGTGAGGGTCGCTAATGTCCCCTATATCCTAGCTTCAACATCAGCTGGCTTTGGGGGGAGGGATTGAACTCAGGCCCTACTGAGCCACCTCCCCAGCCTCTCAGCTGGCTTTATGAAATTCCATCTATCCCCTGCTAGGACAGCAGACTGGGACTATGTCCCCGAGACACTGGATTCAGGTAAGACTTCGGAGATGGTTCACGTGATCCTACCTCTGGGAGTCGGTACGGTTCTATTCCACCATCAAGCTTTTCTTTGAGAGCACTGTTCGTCTGTTTAATATTTTGAATCTAAGAAGGAAAAACATTTTACTTTAATAAATGAAAGCATAAGAAAACTAAAAACTGGTAAGAAACGACAAGACCAAGAAGCCCCATACCTGCTGTAACTGAAATACAAGGTCCCCGCAGTGTCCTCGGGGCATCTAATGAGACACTGTAAATCTACTGTCTGGGCCAGGGATGCAGCTCAGCGGCACAGCACTTGCCTGGCAAGCACAAGGTCCTGAGTTTGATTCCCAGTACGAATAAAAAAATCCTGTCTAAAATCTACTTCCTGCAAGACAGTGAGAGAGGAGACGACATGTGCTGCATCTGCTGCTCCTAACAGGCAGCTCTGTGGCACAGAACACAGCCAGGACACCCCCAGAGGAGGCCTGGACAGGAGCAGGAGGCACAGCAGCCAGGCAAGGGACAGAACGTGGGCTACCCGGCACCACAACGCACGGTCTGCGCACTCCCCTGGTTGCTCTGGGCAAAGACTCCAAGCGCAGACGTCTTCAATGGGGCAGTAGGCAAGCATTTCTGTGCTGCCCCAGGGGCTCTGCTCCAAGCCCTGTTCGTTTCAGGAACAGCACAAGCAAAGAGGAAAGAATGGAAGGCACAGGTTGATTTTCCAAGCAAAACAGAGGGCTCTTCAAGAGTAGATGTTCCCCGCAAAGGCCAGCTCCTGCCAGCAAAGGAAGTGGAAAGATGGAGGGAGGGAGGTGGGCAGGAAGGCGCACCAAAGCTAGCCCGGAAAAGTGGAAGTGGGAAGCCTGATTTGCTGGAATCTGCTGTAATACACTGTTTTGAGAAGGTGCAAGTCAAAGGAAGATAAACCGACAGCGGAACTGTATTTACCTGCAGCAAGGCCTCAACACAGCAGGCAAGCTCTTCGGCCAGTGCTGTCCAGGACTGGTGGCACCAGGGATCCCAGAGGCAGGGCAGGCAGAGCCCTCTGCTCACCAAAGCCTATCAGATAGCGCCAGGAACCCAGGGTATGCTCACCACACCCCTTCCAGCTGAGGAGCTGGCTGACACGTTCCCTCAGGGAATGTGCCAACCTGGGAATACTGCATGTGCCCAAGTGCCAGCCTCTGTATGTTTTTTCTTCGCTTTTGAGGCAGGCTCCCACTACACCTTGAACTTACTATGGAACTATGTAGCCCAGCCTCATTCAACACTCACAGCTAGCTTCCTGCCTCAGCCTCCCTCCTGCTGGAATCACAGCTGTGTGCCACTTCTGTACCTGAGCTGGCCCTACACAGACAACACAAACCGGGTGCACGTTGCCCTGTGATTAAATAACACACACTTGGGGCCGGGGAGATGGCTCAGTAGAGTAAGCACTTGCCTAGCAAGCGCAAGGGCCTGAGTTCAATCTCCAGTTCCAAAAAATCAATCAATCAATCAATCAATCAATCAATCAATCAAACAAATAACACCCCCTTCCCAAGGAGACCATTGTGTCCACCACTGCATGTCCTGTCCCAAGCAATGGGCAAAGCACGTGGCCCAAGGCACAACGCCCACCGATGCTACGCCAGCTGTCAGCGCTCAGTGGCCAGTAGTTGCGTCCCTGATCCCAAGAGCTTTCCACACTGGAAACGGCCAAAGGTTCTTGTCAGAATGAGAGCAGAAGTAGCCACCCACCTTGCCAGCCATCAAGAAGCTGGATGACAAGAAGATGGGGAAGAACCAGGAAGCAAAGCATTTTATTTTATTTTTTGGCAGAACCAGGGATAGAACTCAGGCCCTTGTGCTTGCCAGGGAAGTGCTTATTCCACTGAGCCATCTCCTCGGCCCCCAAAAAGCATTTTTTTTTTTTTTTTAAAGAGCACAGTTAAGAACAGAGAAACGCACATGGCCAGGTCTTGAGGCCTGGTCCCTTCCTGACCTGCCAGCTGAGCACAGCTTGCATCCCCTCCCATCTTCTATGGTCACACCATGTCCTTCTCTAGCAGACACTGAATGCCGCATGCTCTCTCTGCAAGCCAAGCAGCGAGCTGGCCCTGCTCCCTGTGGCCACAGGTGCTGTGAAGGGCCACTGCTAAGGGGCTTTGCTTGTGCTGCAAGGAGGACAGGGACAGGCTCCGCCCCCCTATTTCCACCCTGAGTAGAGGCGAGGCCTCCAGGGTCCACGTTAGGGACAGGGCGCTTGCCCCAGCAGGGGAAGGCCTGTGAGAACATGGTCCTGACAGTGGCCCTCAGCGGCAGCAGCGCTGCAGGACTTCCGCTGCTGCCAGAGAAAAGGCACTCTGAGCTGCCTGAGCTGCTGCCCTTCTGCTGCGCTCAGGCAAGCGCTCCCCGCAGGGCGGGCAGGCCTGTCCAGTGGCAGCCATCCCTGCCAGCCACATCTGGTGGTGTGTGCCCTGCTCCGCTCCCGCAGAAGCCGGGCTCTACGCCCTCTTCGAACTCAGCCATCTCTCAGCACCTATCTTCCAGTGCTGCACGTTCCTGCCCTTGACCCTGCTCTCAAAATCCAAAGCATCCTTCTTCATCTCACACCAAGGTCAGCATCACCTGTGTGGAGAGGGCCTCTTCTCTCCTCCACACATCAATCCCAATGTCTGTCCTGGGCTCCCTCCACACAGTGCAACGAGGAGGATGGAAATCAGACCCTGATCTAGGAGCTCTGCCCCCAGGAACGACTGCATGCACGCAGGCCACGAGGATCCACTCTGCAGTTGAGAAGAGGGAGATGAGGTAGATCTCACCATGGCACTGCTGTCCACGGGGCCACACAATGCCATAGCTGTAGGCGCACAACGCCTGTGGGCACTGCGTACAACTGTGTTACAGTGTAGCAACTTTGGTCATTATGGGGGATTTTACCACACCTTACACTAAGTCTTTGGAGCCAGCCACTAGCCAGTGTATTTCCAGTTGTGGCAAAGTCCACTGCTGGTACCTAGTTAGGAAAGGTGCCTTGGGCCCAGGGAGCAGGAGAGTGTACCACACCAGCTGCCAAGACAAGGAGCTGGCCTCTGTTCTGGGGGTGTGTGAGGCCTGGTCCCAGTCACCGCCTTACGACAGAACAAAGATGTGCCCCAAGCAACTCCTCTCATCTGGAAAGCAATAGCTAGCCTCCCAGTTAGCCTTGCAAGGCAACCATCAAGATTAGTAAGTCAAAGCAGCACAACTCAAAACAAAACACAGGCTACAGGTAGCAGGGGGCAGTTTTCTGGAATTGGGTTCCAGAGGGAGGGAGGGAGGGAGGGAAGAAGAGACACAAGGGAATGAAAGGCCAGTGCCAGATTGCTGGGCTGAATTCCCACTCAAAGGCCCTGCACAATCAGATTAGTGCGGAGCCCTTTCTGCACAGCAAGTACAGATAACTACAAAAGATAATTTAAAATACACACGGGCACGCGTGCGCACACACGTGCACACTACAGAGAACAGACCATCTGCGCACTCCTGTCTCGGTGCCTCCTGTTTAAAAGCAAAGCAACGCAACCACCGGGCTGCCCCGCGCCTTCCCGGTGCGGTGTGACGGGGCAGCACCTGTCTCTTAATGGAGACCAGCTCCATGTCCAGCTGTCGCAGCACCGTGGTAGCAGCGGTGGCGTTGGCAGAAACGGCCTCCACGTCCTCTTGCGACAGAAACATTCCTTTCGGAGGTTTCCTTTTCGCTCTGTTTTTGGCTTGCGTGCTGTGTTTTTCTTTTTTCACCAGAGGAACTGCCTCGGCAGGGGGCACCTGTATGGTATACACATTTGTTAAATGAAACTAAAAGTTACAACGTCAGATGAACAGCAGCGAGCACGCATCCTGAAGAGGCCCCAAGCAGTCCTCAGCACAGCCGCGCTGCGCTCTGAGGCACTGCGCAGCTCAAGCCTGCCTGGGGCTCCGGCTAGCTCTGGGGGCGTTCCGGCTCCCTCCCCGGCACAGACACCTTGGGGCTCGCCCGCCCGCCTGCCTCATGGGGTCCCGCAGGAAGAAGACCGCGGCCGGCGGCCGGCCGCAGGAGCCTTCTGGCACACGCACGCTGGCGCAGGAGACAGCAAGCGGAAGGCAACGCAGCTCAGGTGCGAGCCGCGGCCTCCAGCAACACGCGACCACAGAAGGAGAAACACTTCCGCACGCGCGCGCGCCGGGCTGTAATCATTCAAGTGTTTCCACTAAGAAATATAATCTTCAGGGCTCGGGGTGTACCTCAGTGTCAGAGCACTTGCCTAGCAAGCCTATATCCCCAGCACAAAAGAAGGCTAGAAGAAGAAAGGAGAGAAGAACAAAAAAGAGAAGAGGAGCAAAAATAAAGAATTCAATATGAATGAAGTTGTGACTTTACAAATCACTACTTTTTGGAAAACACCTAACTTTTGGGGCAGCTTTAGGGGTGAAGGAGCGCTGTGAACGAGGCCCACTACTGCTTGCTTGCTTTCTCACATGGGCTATGATTCATTCATGTAGCTATTTATGTGGTACTGGGGATGGGACTCAGGGCACCTTGAGTTTGCCAGGTAGGCGCTTACTGTACTGAGCTATCTCCCCGGCCCCCAAGTACTGTTTTAAAAAGAAAACTTCTGGGAAGTT